GGGAAAGTAAAAGAAAATACTCAACAGTTCAAAACCAACAATAGGCCCATTTATTCAAGGTAGGACAGTTTTCCCATTACAGCTTCACAGAACCGTCTTTCTGTCTGTCCTCCAGCTGCCATGTCTGGACAATCATTCAGCTATATTCACAGCTACTCTAGGACTCAAGCATGAGAGAAAGCTCTTCTGAAGGTAAGAAAAGTCTTCACCTTCATTCAGCCTGTACCAAAAGCTAGCAGTGAGAAAAGGTGTTTTGGAGGTAGTCAAATTCCATCATCCAATTTCATCAAATTTCTTCTGAAGGAAACAAATTCCAACAAATAAAAAAGATTTATGCCCACTAAATCTGAGAAACATTATTTGTGTGTTTGTCATTTCATCAAATGCTGCATGTGGTAGGTCTTACAACACAATCTGTACTATGATATTATGATAATTTCTTTACTACCCAACCTTTGTATTCCTCAGTATTTTATATCTTCTTCAGTGACTTCTAGGAAGTATTCCTATAAGCACTGAATAAATGAATTCACAGCCAAGTGTTTTACAATTCTGTCATTCTCTTATACTCCCAAACAAGATTCCACAAGAAAAGGTAAATAAATTTCTACTGCTTTTCAAATCCAAGTAAAATTTTGTCTGAACTTGTTAATAACCTATCCTCTTCTGAGACTCAAAGTCATTATTTGAATATTTTAAAAACCTCATCTCATTTCTTACCTGCTTTAAAAAACTAAAATGTGTTTACAAAGAACTTGGAGATCATTTTCAAGAAATACAAATACTGACAGTAAAAAATAAAGCTAACGTTATAGATCAGAAACTAACACACAGCCAAGAGAATTACAACTTGAGGGTGTTGAATTTTCAAGATGTTACTCACAACTATATAATCCTTCTTGTAATTCCATCATGAGGAACATCAACTTGCCAAAATATGGCCTTGAATTGTGCAACAAGTCTCCTATTTCCTCTTGTAAAATATACTGGCCAAGACCAAGGAACCCACACTGCTACAATGAAAGCCATCCCCACATTCCAGGGCTCCAGGGCAATTCCCATAAACACAGGGTCATAACAGGAGCCTGCAAACCCCTGTAACCAGCACTCCTTTTTAAGGCTAGAAACGGAAGACAATGACATGTGATCAAGCAGTTTTAGCACTCTAAAGACCTTTTATAAGAACAGCAGGAATTATCAATGCTGTCTCAGAAATCCAGAGGCAAAAATGTAATATAAATTTCATACAATACAAATGATAAACAAATGTGAATGAAATGTTAAAGTTTTATACTTTGGATTATTGAAGAAACAAATCATAGTCAGCAGATTATATGCCAGCACAACAAAATCTCAAGAAAACTGCATGTTCAAGTGGCTTATTTATCTCAAATACAACTTGATATGCCAGACTTCCAAAATTATAAAGGAATAACAAATGGCCCTTTGCAGCTCAACAAAGCAGTATCTGACATAGATGGGGGGGTGGGGATACTTTTGAACTCTAAAAATAAAGATGCAGATTCCTAGCTAAGCATAAGCTTCTGTTTATTTTTCTTTCTCAATTTTAATTATAAGTAAAAACAAGTCCACCTGCTTTATCCACTACAACTATAAGAGATTTAATGCTGTAAGTCTCCAGATAATTTTCCTTTTTATTTTATATTACTCTAAAGGTAAAAATTGGAAGATGACATGTGCCATGCCTTGCTGACAATTTCACATGCATCGTTAAAGTAAGAGAATTATTAAATTACATGTTTTAGGGCATGCTTTCAGGTTTTAATTGCTTCTTAATATTATTAATTAAAAAAAAATCTGATGACCACTGAAAAAATATCGCAGTAATTTTACATTACTAAAACAGAATAAGTACAACCAAAGAACTAATTAAAATGAGAGTGAGTTGAACATTTATGACATTAATAATCTTACCACAATATAAATTAGTGATTAGGTACAACTCTTCATGAGGCAATGTGACTAGGCATGTTTAAAATGAACCACACAAGGGGTTAAAAATAACTATAATGAAAGGGCAACAGCTAGCAATCCAGTTGAGCCAACATTCCCTCCACTCCTCCCCCTCCCCTGCCCACCCTCTCTGGCCCAGAGTGAATTGCATGCTCTACTGCACAAGGCCCAAAAAGGTCACAGTGGATGGCAGAGACTTTTGTAAGAGAACAGAAATAACTCAGCAGCTTGTTACCATAGTCTCTTTTAATCAGTGTGTTCAAAACCCTTTAATTAGCGCTCTGTCTACACAAGGAAAGCATTTCTGGGTGCCAGGGGAAGGCACAGATGTATGTACACAGTGTTCCCTTGTATCTGCATCACAACATGGAGCTTGCACCTCAAATTGTCTGCCAGGAAACTGAAGCACATAAAACTTTAAAGGAATGGTGCCATGCAATTTACATACACACCAGTTACATCTCCATTACTGAACCACAAAGTAATGACAAAGTTTCTTTCATTTAGGGTTGATCTGTTCTCTTTTTTTCTCAGCAAAAATGGAAGTATTTTAAATTAAGCAACAACTTTCCTTAGCCAATTAATGTAGAAAACTAACAATATAAAATGTGAACAAAACAAAACAGTATTCTGACCTCGTAACAGACTTCCCATAGAAAAACACTGCCTCACTCAAACAGGACTAAATCCTAGCATACATTTCATATAGACACTGTACATTCAAAATTTCACCCAAGCACTAAAAGGTCTTAAAACTAGCAGGCTGGATTATTTACATTTCCTTATCTGATTAACTGGAACCAAGGCAGAAATTGGTGAGAAATTAAAAGTAACTATTTTGCAAATCCATTGGCAAAAACAATGGAAACTGTATTAGTAAATGGAGATTTAACAGGGATATACAGATATAAAGATAAGTTAAAAACATCCTTAATTTTTCAAAATCAAGATATATATTTTTATATATACCATAAAATGCATAATATGTGTGTATGTTTATTCATGTATGTTTAACTAAACAAAGGAGCTCTTTTTTTTTTTTTCTTTTTGATGCTGATCCTGGGGCTTGAACTCAGGACTTGGATGCTGTCCTTAGTTTTTTCACTCAAGGCTAATGATCTATTACTTGAGCTCCACTTCCAGCTTTTTGGTGATAAGCTAATTGGAGATAAGAGTTTTAGGGACTTTCCTGCCCAGGCTGATTTTGAAGTGAAATCCAGATCTCCACCTCCTGAGTCACTAGGATTACAGAATGTGAGCTACAGGCCCAGCTAAACTAGCAGGTATGATGAACAGCCTAACTACACTTACTTAAGTCAATGTGGATCACTAAGGGGTCAGCACCGTGTAACTGGTAAAATCCAGTTCTTCCACACCAGGCCTGCTGTTGCACACATGATGTACAATGTGAATACCACTATTTCACAGATTGACATGAGAATTAAGAAACATTTACATCACTTGGCAAAAAACCAGGTTTCTTGGTAAATCAGGGACTGAAGTGGAAAGAACGTGAAGTTGGTATTTTCATGCACTTTTGACAAAAGTGTAAGTTGACAAGTTATCAAAATGACCTATATATTCATAAATATATGTGAACTCGTATTAACATAGTATTTATTATAGCACTGCCTACACTAGTGATATAGGAAACAAAAACAAATGCCCTCCAGTGGGAGACTGGTTAAATAAACTTTACTTCCAAAACAAGAGCCTCCTTATATCCTACTAGAAAAAGTTCTCCATGGTAAATTGTTGAGAAAAAAGAAAGTATGAAATTGTATACAATAAGCTACTATTGAGAAAAAGGGTATAAATACATATCTATGAGAGGGACTTTAAATTTTACCATAAAATTCACCAATGAAATTTACCACTAAGAAATAGTAACTGTTTAGCCAGGCACCAATGGCTCACACCTTTAATCCTAGCTATGCTGAAGTCTAACACCTGAGAATTGAGTTTGAAGCCAGCCCAGGCAAAAAATTCCATGAGACTCTTTTCTCATTAAGTAGCAAAAAGCTGGAAGTGGTTCAAGTGGTAAAGCACCAGCCTTGGCCAAAAAAGCCAAATGAGAGCCTAAGGCCCTTAGTACAAGCCCCAGTACTGGCTTGCACTCGTGCATACATAAACACACACACACACACACACACACACACACAGAAATGGTAAGTTTAACCTGATTTAAGCATTATACATGGTATACATATATCAAAATATTACATGATAACCATTACTATATATATTTCAGAAATTTTAATACAAGAAATTCACCTTTGCCTGACATGAAGAAAAATCTACTCTAGAAAGCTAGCAATTAATGAAAAGTAACAATTACCCTTTGGCAATAAGTGAGACAGTGTCATCAAGCCCAAACAAATGGAAGCTATCATCATTCACATCAGCATGCGCGCTACTATGAATAAATATTCATACACAGAATACATTTACCTAAATTAATAATGAAGTAAACAGCCAAATCTAATTATTATAGGTAATCTTGAAATCTAAGCCCTTCGTTTTCTTTTCAAAAGTAAATAGCTTTTGGCCATTTTACTATTGACTACCACCTCTACTAAATAGTGAACGGAGAAAATAATACTAAAAACAGTATTTTTATTCAATTTTAATAAACAATCTTAATAAGATAGCTTTGGGAGCTGAAAAGCACCATTCAAATGCCATAATGCAATAGAATATATATGAAAGAAGTTAGGCCAAGGGAAAACACCGAAATTAGAGGCAGTTCAAATTTAGAGTCTGCTTCCCAGTTAACTGCTTTTCTGTTTAATTTTTGCTAACATGGGAAGGGATGAAAATAAACAGGAGTGAAATCAATTATCCTTGCTACATTTCCCACCCCCCCCCCCCCATTCTTTATTGGATAACTAAATTTGCTGTGAACAAACCCCACAATTGTAGCAAGCATAGGACAGGTCAATAGAGAATTCAGGGATTCAGCCCTGAATTTTCTGGAACCAAGTATCGTATGAACATCTGCAATAAAAACTGGAAGGTTGTCTTACACTAGAGATTGTCAGAGGCATGTTGAAATCTTTGCCACCTTGAAGCCGGAAGCCCCACGGAGCTGGGCCAACCAAGGACACATTGTAGTTGCTCATGGTTCCAATGGATCCAAGTCCAACGACAGAAGATCAAACAAACTGGGAAAGGAAATTAGAAGGTTAACAAAAATGTTTATTTTAAACACTATTAAACACCTAAATGTAGTTAATATTAAGTCAACAAAATTATGTTCAGAATTCAGTGATGGGATCAAGAGAAGTAAGAGATAAGTCTACTAAATTCTTCATTGATTTCACCCTAAGGAACCTGGGTGCTGAGTGATTCAGTTCTGTAATCCCACCTACTTGGTAAACTGAAAATAGGAAGACTGAAGTTCATAAGACTCCTCAACAGGTGGCAAACCTGAACACAAAAGTCAAACAAAATTCCATCTAAGCAAAAAGAAGTTGGGAGTGATAGCACGTGACTATCATCCCAACCAACTACAGCATGAAGCAAAAAACAGGAGGATGGAGGTCTATGCAAACACCCTGACCCGAATCAAGACCCTATCTCAAATAACCAAGGTAAAAAAAATGGCTGAAGGTGTAGTTCAGTAGCGGAGCACCTACCTAGCGAGCAGGAAGCTCTTAGTTCAAAACCTAGTACTAGAATATATAAGCTAATTTTTACATTCATGCCCATTTCTATAGTCTAAAAGTTCCACATCACAATTTATTTCTAGATACCTGACAAGTTTTACAACTTGCTACAATACAATTTTGTGGCTTTTTTCATATAAATTTTAATTCACACTTTACTGGAGATCAAATTGAGGGTCTTTTGCATTCCAGGCAAGTACTCTACCACTGAAAGACACCCCCACCCAGATCAAGATTTCATTCCAGCTGTAATTCAAAATGATTTTCCCTTTTCCTTAACCTCATGTATTTTTCCCCTGCTGTTGGCAGGAGTACTTCAATTCCATTTACTGAAATTCTAGGTTATTCTAATATATGAAAGGGACTGAAATTCAGCAGACTCACAGCCGTGTTTTCTAACTACTAAATCCTTTAAAACAGGGAAGTTGTCTTTTAGTACACCTGGTTGTTCTCGCCAATTATAAACCCCATATATTTTCTCATATAGACAGATATATGGTATTTTCCACACATAAAGGAATATTTACTTTTCCTTCAGACAAGTAAAGATAGGCAATACTTTAGAACAGGTGCATTTTAGTCATAATTGGCTTTTTTTGTTGTGTTTTGTAGATACAAATCACCAAGCACAGGATTGAGTAATCGACATTTACAGGGAGATAAGGAAGTGATGCCTAAAAATGGCAAAAGTACAAGGTTAGCCTTAATTCATGAAATTGAATGGCAGCTTCCAAAGCAGTGTGCAGCGCGGCTTTCTTCTTCCTGCTTGGCTGTGAGTATGTGCACAATAACTATATGGTAGTACTGTTAAATAATTTTTAAAAGAAAAACAAAGCTTAATTTGGAATTTTTCATTCGTTGTTATACTGGTAGAAGACATTGGAAGAAAAAAAAAACTTCTTTTTCCAAATACTGAGAAGCCTAATAGTTTCTTCTTTATGGAAAACAGAAGGGGAAAAAAGTGGGGGGGTTTTCTCCTTTATGATAAAGAAGCATAATTTTATAATTTTTAAAAGTCAATTTGAAAAGCAAAGCTGCTTAAGACACACTTCCTTAGAAAATGTAAACTATTAAACCAAATCACCGCCTTATATGAGCTGTATTTTTTGTATTTTTAACACATTCAAACTTTCTGTCCCAGTATACCAAATTAATGCCAGCAGATGTAGGTAGCTGAGCCTGTGGACACCCTTAAACATTGCCTCTCAAAAGAGGAAAATGAGGCACTACTTTAAGACTACTCCTTAGAGAAAATTAATTCAGGGATAATGTGAGCTGCATCTATCCAGAAAATTAATCATCTTTCCCAAAGATATGGAAGAACACTTAATTACTAGGCAGTAACACATTACTGATGGACACAGACCACTAGAAAAAGACCCAAAGAACAGGCCAGAAGTAAAATTGTTACAGGACAAGACAAATAGTGAGTGGTTACTAAGAAGCTACATTTTACAACTGCACCCCACAATGAAAGTACTAATTGGGAAGTACTGCTGTGGCTCAGGTGGTAGAGCACTTGCCTTGAGCTGAAGAGCTGAGGGACAGCGCCCAGGCCCAGAGATCAGGGCCCACAACCAACCAAAAATAAAAAATGAAAAGTACTAACTCAGCTAGCTCCCTTTGGTCCCAACCTTCCTACAAGGAAATGCATTTCATGTATGTATCCACCTATGTATATGCAACTCTCTTTACAGATAGTCTCTAACATCTCCATTTGTCACTAAAATCCCTAGTACTGGGGGGAGGGGGGGAGAGACAGAGCCTCATCCACACAACCAAACAGGTCATTTATTTTCTATTCTGCTGGCTTCCCTTGGAATTCATTTGTCTTAAAATATTCTGATCCCAAAGCAATGGCAATATTATTATTGGCCTTTTGCAGGTCTCCTCCATCTGGGCATTAGTGCCTTCCTAAAATACCAAGCGGGCAGGAAATCGCAGCTTATTCTGTTCTCAAATATGTAGATGTTGGAATTTCTGTATAGGACTGGATTTTCTTTTCGGAAAGTCTTATAAATAACTGCTTTGGTCTCATCCGGCTGGAGAGGGGGAGCTTGGTTATTTTTCCCACACTTGTGCATCAGCTTCATTGAAATGGAAGTGGAGGAGGGGAATGACATTTTTAAAAAAGGGAGGTACCTGAAGGCTGAGGTTCAAGAGGTAGAGTGCTGGCTAGCATTAAGCAAAAGAGCTCAGGGACAGAGCCCAAGCCCTGAGTTCAAGTCCCAGATTAAGCCATCCTTTCCCCCCCCCCCCAAAAAAAAAGAGGGGGAGAGGGGACTTCTTGAGATTCTCTCTTTCCCCCTTGGAGATGTAACTGGGGTGGAGCTGAGGAACTACAGCCACAGGCCCAGGATGAAGGCAGCAGAAGAGCCAGTTTCCCAGCTGAGGTTCACGCCTAGCACTTGTTGGCCAAATAAGGCTGTGGGAGCCGGCTGTTTCCGTGGCAGGCGGGTTCAGGCGTCCTCCGGTCAGGAAGGCGGACTTGGGGATCGGATCTGGTGATCACACACCCTAGACCTGCCCTGCCCGGCACAACCACACCGATTGTCTAGCCCAGTTACTCCGGCCCTGCCCAGCCGCCCTTCCTCCCCCCCCCCCCGTCCCACCCCACCCCACCCCCCCACTCCCCAACTCCCCAGTCTGACAAAAGCCCCAAGCAGCAATCAAGGTGGTGTCCGTGCCCGAGCGAGGTGTAGTGGGGCTCGGGGTTGGTTGGGTGGTGGTGGTGGTGGTGGTTTAAGCCACCCGGGGAGCTTTACTTCTGGTGCGCGCAGGGGGAGTTTGCTTCACACAGGTTGCACAATTGCTAGGATCTGGGGAGGGCGGGAGGTGGGGGGGGTCATAAACGCTTCTCGGTAGCCGGGAAGCAAACACGACCAACGCACGCGATCGCGCGCCCTTCCCGGCGGGTGCCCGGGACCGCGGGAGCCGGTGGGGTCGGGTGGGGACCGGAGGGGACGGAGAAGGGCCCCCCCACCCCCTCGTCACCCACCCCACCCCCAGGGACCCGCACCCCGACTCCGGTGCGCACTCGGCCGGGGCGGCCAGCCCGGGCTGCGAGGACTGCCGGGGAACTCGCCGATCCCCCTCACGCCCCCCTCCCGCGCTCCCAGCGCCCGGCTGCCGGCGCGGATCCGGGCCGCGGCGCCGCCTCCGCCGCCCCGCGCGCCGCGCGCACCTGAGGAGCCACCGCGCGCCGGGCGCACCGGGTCCTCCGCGCTCCCCGCGGCGGGGCTGCGCTCCCGCACAGCGGCGCCCGGCACGCGCTTCCCTCCCTCTCCGCGCAGGGGAAAGCGACACCGCCGGCCAGTCACTCACTCACTCACTCACCTCCGCAGCCGCGTGGCGTGGCCTCCGCCTCGGACCAGCGCTGACAAGTGACTCGCCCGGCTGGCGCGGTCCCTAAGGCCTGCGGGGAACTTCCGCCTGTTCCCTCTCCAGGCCACGCCCCCCTGGAGGGCCACGCCCCTCTGCGTTCTGCCTCGTCCCAGCGCTGGGACACACCCCTTGGTCCGGCCACGCCCTCCTCCAGCTCTAGCCACGCCTCCCCCGGGGCCAGGCGAGGATGGTTTAACCAGAAGCTAAGTTCTCAGGCTTGCTGGGACCGGCTTGGAGCTGCGTGGGAAAAACTTTTGCTCTGTGGAGTTTCGGTGGGAGTCGTCTTAGGGGGATTCCGAGCAGTACCTGGCAAAGACAGAGACCTTGCCTTTCACGTGTCTGATTTCTACTGGAGTGCATTTCTCTCCCCAGAAACTTGGCAAGTCGTTGCTCTGATTAAAAATAGCAAGGGGCATTGGATAAATCCCTGTCGGTGCAAGCTGGAGGACTCCTGCCTGGGTTTTTATTTATTTGTTTGTTTTGAGAGAGCTTTATATACTCTTGAGAAGTGTAAACCCTGAAGTTCACTTGTCAGGAAGGTGAAAATCGCCTGCCTTAATAATGCAGAAGGTAAATCTGTCATCACACCAAAAGGCAGTGATAGCAAATGACAGCCAAAGCTGATTCAACTGCTAGATCCTCAGCTTATTTTTCTAAGCCCATTCCATAGCCCGTTTCCTCGCTTCTGTAAAGTTGCTTCAATGAGCCTCAGGAATTCACTCACCAGCAAACATGAGTACTGTTCAGTTACCACACAAATAGTGACTTGCCATCTCTCTTACATTTTGAATCTCTCCCGTATAACCAATGTAAGTTACTAGAGAAAAAAAAAAAATACCACCTTCCCAAAAAAGGAAAAAAAAAAAACTGGCGACTATTTGCAAATAACTTCTTGCATGCTAAGCAGTGCAGTAATTCCTTCAACAAAGGGGGTGACTATCATCCCAATGTTTAGATAAGAACAGCAAAATTGTAAGGGATTATAATTTATGACAGGACCAGGGCTATAAGCAAGCTTGTAAATTACAAGTTGCCTACCCTGTTTACTGCTGCTAAGTAAATGGAGCCTCAATCAAGGAAAATTCATCAAAGACAGCCAGAACTGCAGGGTATCTATGGAAGAATAAGCATCCGGGGATGAACCTGAAGAGAGTGAACACAGTTTCACTTCTGCAAGTCCTCATGGCAAGCTTGCCTCTGATCCTCCTCCTGCTGCCCCAGTGCAAAGCCTGAGGTAAAAGAGAAAACGAACCAAATTCAGGCATCTTGCTTATGCTCATACTTATCCAAGGGTTCTCTAAGCGACCACCTGTACTAAAAAGACACAGACAACATGTGGCGGTTACAATTTCCTGTGTCCCATTGGAGACCTATAATCAACCCTTGGATATAGGCCCCAGCCTTTTGAGCAGGCATTGCCTCCCAGACTTCCAGGTAATTATTAAACTTCTAGGCTTAAAAACTACTTCTCTAGAAATATCCCCTTATCCCTGTTTACTGAATGAGAGAATTAAGTGAGACCTAGACATATTAAGTAACAACAACTTACCTCAATTTCCTCTTCTTCAATGAAATTATAATAATAAATAACCCTAGGAGGTTATCATAAGGAATCCAGACTATAGAGCCCTCCCTCAGTATCCCTCCTGGAATTGATTCTAGGGGCTCCTTCATGTGCCAGAATTCTTGGCTGTACTAGCTACCAGCCCTCCTGTAAGATGGCATAGTACAGGTAGTCTACACATATCCTTCAGTGTGTTTTAAATCACTTCTACATTACTTTCTTTTTTGGTCTGGTCGTGGGGCCTGAACTCTGGGCCTGGGCGCTGTCCCTCAGCTCTTCAGCTCAAGGCTAGTGCTCTACCACTTGAGCCACAGTGCCACTTCCAGCTTTTTTTTTTTCCTGCTTATGTGGTGCTGAGGAATCGAACCCAGGGCCTCATGCATGCAAGGCAAGCGCTCTGCCACTGAGCCACCTTCCCAGCCCTACATTACTTTCTTATACAATTAAAGAGTGACGTTCATAATTATACTGTATTCTAGGGGAAATGTTCTCTCAAAATAAGTCTGCAGATCCATGTAGCTGATCTTATTTTTCTAATATTATTTATTTCTGCTAGTTTTCATCCCTGCTTACTTGAATCTTCTGATATAACGCTTTCAGGACTACATGTACTACACTACTACACTACTATATGTAGGGCTCACTACATGTATACACTATCACAAAGCATATCTGTTGCCACATAGATGTGAAGTAGCAACTTCTAACCAACTGATAAAATTATGTATCATAAAAGTGGAAGAGTGAACTTTAGGATTCACTCTGCATGTAATATGTGCTTGGTGTTTTATGTCCAATCATTTTATTGGATTCTTACAACAATATAAAGTACATGTTCCTTCACAGGAAAAAAAAAATTTAGAGACTAAATTTAACCATTTAGCCAGGTACCGGTGGCTCACACCTGTAATCTTAGCTACTCAGGAAGATCTGGATGATTGTGGTTCACTGACAGCTCCAGTAGAAAGATCCACAAAATTCCATCTCCAAAATAAACAGCAGAAAAGTCAGATACTCTGGCTCCAGTAGCTCACCCCTGTAATCCTAGCTGCACAGGAGGCTTGAGATTTGAACACCATGGTTCAAAGCCACCCTGGGCAAGAAAATCTCCATGAGACTCTTTTTTTTTTTGCCAGTCCTGGAACTTGAACTGGGCACTGTCCCTGAGCTTCTGTTGCTCAAGGCTAGCACTCTACCTACTTGAGCCACAGGGCCAGGTCAGGCATTTTCTGTTTATGTGGTACTGAAGAATTGAACCCAGGGCTTCAAGCATGCTAGGCAAGCACTCTACAACTAAGCCACATTCCCATCCACCATGAGACTCATCTCTAGTTAACCACAGAAAACCAGAAGTGGAGCTGTGGCTCAAAGTGGTAGAGCTCTAACCTTGAGTGAAAAAGCACAGGCTTAGCACACAGGCCCTGAGTTCAAAATCTATGACTGAAAAAAAGAACACAAACTCTTCATCAACACACTGTGATTTGGTAAATTTGGTAAATGTCTATCCTAAAATCCGAAGATAGAAGATGAAATCATATGAAAAATAGGATGAAATGAAATTTACAGAAAATTAGGAAGATAAGGTAAATGCTGTGGATGTTAGTATAAATGAGTAAAAATGAGATTGTTGAATCATTTCCAGAAGCGTATAGACCATAACTTACTTTATAATGAATTGTCACTGGGTGTGACATCACTAGCAGGAAGATAAAGGCGTCATTGGGAAATCCAGCATCCATGGCCTTGTTAATTTGTTGGCCAGGTAATGATGCAACCACAAAAGAAGCCATATTAAAAGCTTAACCTCATCAAAACCAGTACCTGTAACCCTAGCCACTCAGGAGGCTGAGATGTAGAGGACCAGACAGTTGGAAGCCAGCAGGCAGAGAAGTTCATTAGACTTCATCTCCAAAAGAGCAAAAACCTGAGCTCAAGTAATAGAACACCAGCCTGGCCTACAAACTAAGCAAGCGTGAGGCCCTGAGTTTAAATACTGGTTTCAAAAATAAAAGCATATGAAAAGCTAGAGAGAAGAAACATCAAAAGGTTCCAATTTTTTTTCAGAAGAGCGTTTTCAGAATATTCCATCTATTTACATATGTGTATAAACATTTACTTTTACATTTTATTATCCAAAATATGACTCAGAACCTCTTGCAGTACTTCAAAAATAACAGAAATGTTTAATTACAAAATGGCATGACCATGACAAGACTTTACAATCATAATCAATACAGTATAAATTGCCAGTCTTTTAAAAGTCTCTACAGTACTCTAAGTCAATTTGTCATATAAGTTCTAATTCTGAAAAGTAAATAAACCACTCATAGGGATGAATTTTAATATTTGGAATGAGGAGGAAACACTAACGTTCTAATTTTTTTAATGGGCCAGAGCATGGTAGTACAAACCTGTTAGCACAGGTAAGTATCTGAGGTAGAGATGGAGACAAATATAGTTTGAGGGCAGCCCAGGTAGGGGGAAATTAAGAAAAACTATCTCAAACAAGTAGAGTATGGTGAAATCCCAATTACTTAGCAGGCCTGAGGCTGACCTGGGCTAAAGTCTGAGACCCTATCCAACAAAATAACTAATGCTAAAGCCAGCCAGGGGCTTGGCTCACATCACAGAGTGCCTACCTAGCAAGCACAAGGCCCTAAGGTCAACTCCCCACTACTCTGAGGAAAGAGAAAGAGAGAGAAAGAGAGGGGGTTTAGAGGAGATGGAGGATAAGAAGGAGGAAGAGGAGGGGAGGAAGGGAAGAAAGGGGGAAGAAGAGGGAGAGGAAAGAAGGGAGGAAACTAAGGAAGGGGAGCAGGGGAAAAGAGGGAGAGGGAAGGGAAAGGGGAGAGAGAGAGGAGAGGAAGTAGGGAAGAGAAGGGGAGGGAGGAATGAAGAAGCAAGGGAGGAAGAATTTAGTCATCTGAAGAGAAACAGAAGGCGCCAGGCCATTGCTAAAGCTACTAATGAATCCTGAAGAAGAGCAGGATTGAAGCTGTCATGGATTCAGGGAAAAAGAATCAAAGAATGAGAAAAAGGTAAGAGCAGATGAAGGAAGTTCAGGTAATAAAGTAAATGGGCAATTAAGGAAAAAGTTAAAAGTTTAATTTAGCTCTCAGTATTTCAGTCTCAGGACTGGGGATGCTATTAATCATTGCTGTTGTTGAAGGAGCAAAATTCGAAGACACTGTAGATAAGTAACAAGAGTCAGTTGGTAGATGAGTGTGAATAAAAAAGAAGACAGATAGGAAGCTTAACGAAGAAACCGTAAGGAGTTCTGAGTTTGAGACTTCCAAAGAGGAGGGATCCAAGCAAGGTACAGCCAGTATGATGTCTTCCTCATGTAAACTGAAATTACAGAAGAATCTGTTGGATGAGAGGATAGAGAACAAGTATGGTTTTGGAAAATACATGGGGCCAGTCATCAAGAAGGATTGGTATATGAAGATGTTATCCAGAAAGTAATAAATAGACCT